TGTGTGTGTGTCAGTGTGTGTGTGTGTGTGTGTGTGTGTGTGTTCAGGAGTGTCACCTGTGCATGTGATCCAGAGAGCGGCACAGCTGGAACATGTAGTGCTTGACTTTACTCTCGGCTGGAGGACACTGACGGCCTGCAGGAGGAACACAAGTCATGTTTACCTCTGCGTGACTGACATCAGACAGCAAACGCACCGTACCTTTAATGAACTCGTATATGTTCATCTCCATGAGCTCACAGATGAGTGACAGCGTTCCCGAGCCTTTATCGCTGTAAAGCAGAGTGTGTGATCAGTTCAGCGCGTGTTAATATTCATTCAAGTTTTCAATTTCATTCAATATTCAGGAAGTTGTGGCCTAATGGTTAGAGAGTCGGACTCGTAACCCAAAGGTTGTGGGTTCGAGTCTCGTACCAGCAGGGATTGTAGGTGAGGGGAGTGAATGTACAGCGCTCTCTCCCACCTTCAATACCACGACTGAGGTGCCCTTGAGCAAGGCACCGAACCCCCAACTGCTCCCCGGGCGCCGCAGCAAAAAATGGCTGCCCACTGCTCCGGGTGTGTGTTCACGGTGTGTGTGTGTTCACTGCTGTGTGTGTGCACTTTGGATGGGATAAATGCAGAGCACTAATTCCGAGTATGGGTCACCATACTTGGCCACATGTCACGTCACTCACTCACTCGTTCAGAACTGAGTTGTTAATAAATACTCACTAAATGAGCTCATGAAGCTGGAGGATGTTGGGATGCGAACTCAAACGCTTCATGGCTTGAACCTCCCGGAGACTGTGAGCCTGATCCACACTGACAACAATCGGCACAATCATCACAATCAGCATACATTATTACTGGTCATAACAGGATGAATAAAGATCAGCAGAGAACAGGTGCTTATTTACAGGTCACATGAAACGCAACGTATTTATCACACACACTCACTCACTCACACACACACACACACACACACACACTCTCACACACACACACACTCACACTCTCTCACTCACACACACTCACACACACACTCACTCTCACACTCACTCTCACACTCACTCTCACACTCACTCTCACACTCACTCTCACACTCACTCTCACACTCACTCTCACACTCACTCTCACACTCACTCTCACACTCACTCTCACACTCACTCTCACACTCACTCTCACACTCACTCTCACACTCACTCTCACACTCACTCTCACACTCACTCTCACACTCACTCTCACACTCACTCTCACACTCACTCTCACACTCACTCTCACACTCACTCTCACACTCACTCTCACACTCACTCTCACACTCACTCTCACACTCACTCTCACACTCACTCTCACACTCACTCTCACACTCACTCTCACACTCACTCTCACACTCACTCTCACACTCACTCTCACACTCACTCTCACACTCACTCTCACACTCACTCTCACACTCACTCTCACACTCACTCTCACACTCACTCTCACACTCACTCTCACACTCACTCTCACACTCACTCTCACACTCACTCTCACACTCACTCTCACACTCACTCTCACACTCACTCTCACACTCACTCTCACACTCACTCTCACACTCACTCTCACACTCACTCTCACACTCACTCTCACACTCACTCTCACACTCACTCTCACACTCACTCTCACACTCACTCTCACACTCACTCTCACACTCACTCTCACACTCACTCTCACACTCACTCTCACACTCACTCTCACACTCACTCTCACACTCACTCTCACACTCACTCTCACACTCACTCTCACACTCACTCTCACACTCACTCTCACACTCACTCTCACACTCACTCTCACACTCACTCTCACACTCACTCTCACACTCACTCTCACACTCACTCTCACACTCACTCTCACACTCACTCTCACACTCACTCTCACACTCACTCTCACACTCACTCTCACACTCACTCTCACACTCACTCTCACACTCACTCTCACACTCACTCTCACACTCACTCTCACACTCACTCTCACACTCACTCTCACACTCACTCTCACACTCACTCTCACACTCACTCTCACACTCACTCTCACACTCACTCTCACACTCACTCTCACACTCACTCTCACACTCACTCTCACACTCACTCTCACACTCACTCTCACACTCACTCTCACACTCACTCTCACACTCACTCTCACACTCACTCTCACACTCACTCTCACACTCACTCTCACACTCACTCTCACACTCACTCTCACACTCACTCTCACACTCACTCTCACACTCACTCTCACACTCACTCTCACACTCACTCTCACACTCACTCTCACACTCACTCTCACACTCACTCTCACACTCACTCTCACACTCACTCTCACACTCACTCTCACACTCACTCTCACACTCACTCTCACACTCACTCTCACACTCACTCTCACACTCACTCTCACACTCACTCTCACACTCACTCTCACACTCACTCTCACACTCACTCTCACACTCACTCTCACACTCACTCTCACACTCACTCTCACA